AGGGAAGAATGGCAAGGACTTCGTGGTGGGTGTGGCAGGAAGTAGATGCAGCGCTCGGGGGCGGGCCTAGCAGCGCTACCTCTCAGTAAGCCTGGTGAAACCATCGAGTCTGAGGGCCAGAGAGTCATGGAGGTAAGGGGGCGGGGTGACATATTCTCCGGACCACGTTCCGGAAAGCGCGAGCTGGGTTGTATAGGGTGTTCCAGAGTCAGCTGCTGTGTGCCAGGGTCGGGAGTCCTGGGCTAGGAGATCTTTGTCAGTGGATCTCCATGCAAAGGTGCTTTGGAATTCTGGATCTCAGCTCCGAGCCTTAGCGGAGGTCACAGCTTTCAATTCACCAGTGGCTCGGCGTACCGGGTTGAGGACAAAGTGGCGGTGGAGGAGTGTTGCAGGAGAGGTGTGCTGGAAATAATTTGCCTTTTTTTCTCCTTGGGCATTGTCTTAGTAAGGCTTACTCACATCTTATTGGGTTGAATTTGAAAAGGCTCCGTGGAAGAAGTAGCCTGTAAGATCTCAATTAAAAAGGATGCCTGGAATAAAGAAAGGGTCTTTCGGTACCAACAACTGAATGAGCCAGCGGTAGTGTACGCAGGGTCCATCCCTGCGTATCCGGCTGTGGTATTTGAACCTAATGGGAGCAAGTCACTAGGGGTGCTGGAGTACAAGTGACAGAATTGTAGCATGTCTGGGTTTGGTGGGTTTGGATGATGCAGGTGCTGAAGGTCTATTTAACTATCAACTCAAGAACCAAAATAACTTGCATGAAATAGTTTAGGTGAGAAGTAATAAAAGTCTGTACAGGACATTAGGAATAGGGCATAAGGGAGATACTATTTGAAAGACATTTCTGATGGTAAGGCATGTGGTCATTGACAGATCAATGGAAAGATCATCTTTGCTGATTCCATTCAGTCTCCTCCTGTCACAGCTCTTGGCAGGGACCAAAATCTTGCCTTTCTAGTATCCTGGTGTGGAGCTGGTTACATTGCTTTTGGGAGTTAAGAAATTCTCAAAAATGGTCTTCTGGCAAAAGGGCTAACTGAAGAGCAAAATGAATTGAAGAGCCTGGGGTGTTTGCAGTAGCATTCCAACACCATTCCTACTCCACAAAAGAGTACTGAAACACAGTCCTGCTGACCTGTCCGTCATGCTTCTGTGGGAGGGAGTGGAGGAAGTTTGATTGGTCTAGTTTCTAAACCAGTCTTATGCTTTCTTCCAGTTCTGCTGCTCTCCGTCCCTAGGTTTTGACAGTGCCTCGGAGCCTGTAAGCATCTGTGTTTTTTCCTTTCAAGATGCCATTTACAGACTTTGTTCTGGCCCTCAAAGACAATCCCTACTTTGGGGCTGGATTTGGGCTGGTAGGTGTGGGTACAGCTTTGGCTATGGCCCGGAAAGGAGCCCAATTGGGTCTAGTGGCATTCCGGCGCCATTACATGATCACACTGGAAGTTCCTGCTAGAGACAGAAGCTATGCCTGGTTGCTTAGCTGGCTTACCCGACACAGCACCCGCACTCAGCACCTCAGTGTTGAGACCTCATACCTTCAGCATGAAAGTGGCCGAATCTCCACCAAGTTTGAATTTATCCCCAGCCCTGGAAACCACTTCATTTGGTAAGATTGAAAGCTAAGAAGGGCTCTGAGGAGAGGGCAGATCAATGGAGGGAATTGGGTCACTTTGACAATTCTATTCAGGTATCAGGGAAAATGGATCCGGGTAGAACGAAATCGTGACATGCAGATGGTAGACTTGCAAACGGGGACTCCTTGGGAATCTGTCACCTTCACAGCCCTGGGCACTGACCGAAAGGTTTTCTTCAACATCCTGGAGGAAGGTATGAGACAGGCAGGCTATCAGGAATGGGGAAGTGGGGCATCTGCTGCGTGGAGGGGAGGAATAAGGTTCCGAGTCCTCGGGAGAAGAGGACCAGGTCAGAGCTCTACCTAACTGAAGAGTCAGCTGTGATCAAGAGACCTACTATCTTACTTCCTTGCTCCCAGCTCGAGCGCTGGCCCTGCAGCAGGAAGAAGGGAAGACTGTGATGTACACAGCTGTGGGTTCTGAATGGCGTACCTTCGGTTATCCACGTCGACGTCGACCACTGGATTCTGTAATCCTACAGCAGGGTCTGGCTGACCGAATTGTCAAAGATATCCGGGAATTTATTGATAACCCCAAGTGGTATATTGACAGAGGTAAGAAGCAGCTGGAATCTAGGCAATTCTGTAGTCAGATGAAATTACAGAAAATTCTAGCTCAGGTGAAAGGAAAAAAAAGCCTGTCTGTGAGGTCATCTTTTTATGATACTAGGACTGCATATAGGGAACAGAGCTGAGGGTAAATGTGGACACCTGGGCCAGAGTACATGATTCACTTTAGGTCTTGTTTATCCTGGTTATATCCCTAGGCATTCCCTACAGACGTGGCTACCTTCTTTATGGCCCCCCTGGTTGTGGAAAGAGCAGTTTTATGTGAGTAGTCAAATTTTCTTGACTCTGAGAAAGAGCCTTTGCAGAGAAACTGGGCTGAAAGCGTTAGAAGAGAAAGGAATCTGGGAACCAAGAGTCAGGGTAAACATAAGAGCCATAGATATACATCAAGTGGGTGGTATAGGAAACGTAGGCCTTTGTGGCCCACCTCCTAGGGCTCCCAGAATCTTCAGGTTGCCTAGGACCTCCTTCCATGTCACTGTCCACAGAACAGCCCTGGCTGGCGAACTGGAACACAGCATCTGCCTGCTCAGCCTCACAGACTCTAGCCTCTCAGATGACCGGCTCAACCATCTTCTGAGCGTAGCACCACAGCAGAGCTTGGTGCTCCTAGAAGATGTGGATGCTGCTTTTCTCAGTAGAGACTTGGCTGTGGAGAGTAAGTGAGGACGCTGGGGATGGGGAGTCTTTTGTTTTTAGTTTAGTGTGCATGTGTGTGCAGGCACACATGTGTGCAGAGAACGTTTTAAAGTCAGTTCTCACCTTGCACTCTTTCTCTTGTTGCTGTACTCCTGTCTCTGCCTTCAACATGCTTTACTATTTAGATATGTGCCACCAGAAGCCACTGCATCTAGCTTTTTACTTGGGATTCTGAAATCAAACTTACGTCTTCAGGCTTGTGTAGTTGTTTGTTTGAACCCCACAGAGCTATTTTCCTAACCCAGTGAAGTAGTTATTTAAGACACTGAGGGTCAGAAGTAAACGAGGAACATTTTTGGAGGCTTAAGTCAGCAACAAGAGGCACTGATAAATAGGCACTGAAGGGGGATTTGGGGCACTATTTTAACTAAGACATGACTCTTACATTCCTGTCATCCTCTAGACCCTATAAAGTACCAAGGACTAGGTCGCCTCACCTTCAGTGGACTGCTTAATGCTTTGGATGGTGTAGCCTCCACCGAGGCACGAATTGTGTTCATGACCACCAACTACATTGACAGGTAAGGAGACAGGAAGGCAAAACTCCACTCATACACCTTGAGAGAGTTGGGGGGTTGAAGAGACTGTCTCAGGAGCTAGCAGGATGCTAGCTGTGACTCTGCTTTTCCCCTTAGGCTGGATCCTGCCCTAATACGTCCTGGGCGAGTAGATCTGAAGGAGTACGTGGGCTACTGCTCACACTGGCAGCTGACCCAGATGTTCCAGAGGTTCTATCCAGGGCAAGCGCCTTCTTTGGCTGAGAACTTTGCTGAACATGTCCTTAAAGCTACATCCCAGATTAGTCCTGCCCAGGTACAAGGCTACTTCATGCTGTATAAAAATGACCCCATGGGGGCTCTTCACAATATTGAAAATCTGAGGTGACCCACCAGGCCACGATCTGCTCTCAGAAAATCCATAAGCACCTGTCACACTAATCTGGTTTGTGACTTTCCTCCCTCTGTTGCTGTGCTTGTACTTGAGAATAAAAGGAGTTGCCATAGCAGGTGCCTACAAGATCTACATCTACAAATGCCCAATGGGGCCATAGCCTGAGCAAGGGAAAAGAGAATGAGTGTTAGTGGGAAAAATATATGCAATCATGAAAGGCCACCCATATAAGATACATTGTTGCCTAAGTTGTAACACACTCCCCACCCCCCAATTTGTTTTGTTTTTGAGACAAGGTTCTCTGTATAGCCCTGGTTGTTATGGAACTTGCTATATAAACCAGGCTGAAGATCTGCCTGCTTCTGCCTCCTGAATGCTGGGATTAAAGGCATGTACGTGGTACACACTTTTAATTCTAAGCTAAGGTAGTAAGAGTGTAAAATCTCCTCTTTCTCTGCCATCTTCCTCTATCTCTCTTCCCCACCTTTGCCCTTTGCCCTGAACAAGCCCCCCACCCCCTTGAGGGGGGGAGGAAGAGTGTTAAAATCTTAAGATCAGGGCTGGAGAGATGACTCAGCAATTAAGATCACTGACTGCTCTTCCAGAGGTCCTGAGTTCAATTCCCAGCAATCACATGGTGGTTCACAACCACCTGTAACAGGATCCAATGCCCTCTTCTGATGTGTCTAAAGACAGCGATGGTGTACTCATATACATAAAATAAGTAATTCTTAGAAAAAATCCTAAGACCAACCTGAACACTACAGCGAAGCTTCCCCCTCTCCCCCATAAAACAACAAGAGAGCTTGGGATGTGGCTCAGGTGGTAGAATGCTTGCCTAGCATGTACAAACTGGCCATGATGGCAATGGGCTGGAATCCTAGCACTCAGGGTAGGGACAGAAAGACCTGGAATTCTTCAGCTATATAAAGCTTGAGGCTAGTCTGGGCTACATGGTACCCTATCTCGAAACAACCAACTAGTCAGCTGGACAGCACATGTGTGCAAATGTGGCTATGGATGAATGGAGTTATATGCTATGGTACTTTCTAAGCATTCTGCACAGATGTTCACCTCCTGAGAACTGACCACACTGGCAGGGAAGAAGACCCTTTTTACCCCAGTGCCTTTGGTGAACAGACTTACAAGAAAGGTGGGAGTCCCTTACCATAAAGAGTCATACCACATAAGCTAGATGCTGTTAAGCAAAGGTCAAATCTCTTTATTGCCTCCCTCCCACCCCAATTCCCTGTCCCCCAACAGTACTGCTAGGAACCTTCCTCAGATTCCAAGCCCAGGGGCTCCCTGCGAGTACCAGACCGGTATGTTCCCTGGCCCCGAGGTAGATGGGGATAGGAAGAACCCGGTGTACGGTTTTTAGAGCGTTCCCAGCGAGCACAGTCCCGAGTCCTGCGAGCTGAGGGGCCCTGCCAGCTACCAGGCCCCTTCTCCTGAGGATGACCTGTGTGCCCTTTGTTACGGGGTTCTGCCTTTAAGTCCATAGTCTCCTTGAGAGGCTTCTCAGGAGGTGGCAGTTCGTGGATTTCACTGGTACCTTTTGGGGCACAGCACTCCCCTCCTTTTGGGTGCCTCCGATCATACTGTCGCCAGGAGCCACGACCAGGTCGTGGAGGATCTAGCACGGATTTCTGAGTCTCACCCGGCCTCTGTTGATTTGGCCCAGCCCCCGAAGTCTTCTCATATACATACTGGGTCGCCGTGGGTAGAGGAGTTGGCAGAGTTGATTGGACAGCTAGGGAAGTAGATTGTTCTGCAGAAAGGGCATTAGGAGGTTGGGGTCCTCTGGAGACATCTACAACTGACTCAGGTTCAAGAGTAGCAGGAGGCTGGAGAGAAGAGAAGAGGAGGTGATGCATCAAGGGGGACCCCTCTCCACTATCAGCAACCATGATCAACCTACAATCTCGATAGCAGAAGGAAGCATACCCTAGGGCCATGGCATTCATAAGAATGCTGGAGGCATTTGAAGCTAAAAGGGGAACCTTCCCTTTCCTTACCTGCTGAAGGCTAATGAAGTATCGGTTCCGTTCAGCCTCAAGGTCGATGATGCCTCCCTTTTCCTGCTGCCTCTGATACAGCCGTTTGAGCTCTTCCTGTTGGCGCAAGCTCTCTGCACTGGGTTGGTACGGCTCCTTGGAGGAAAGGAAGCAGAATGGCAAACAGACAGATGACTGAACCCCGTAACTCTTCTAGGATTGTCCTAGGGAGCTGCACAAGTTCCTGGGTATTCTGTTTTGTTTTAGACAAGAATTTCATATAGCCCAGAATGGTCTCAAACTCACCATATGGCCAAGCGTGACCTTGATCTGTTTATCCTTCCCGAGTGCCAAGATTATGTAAGTGTACCACCATACCAGTGTTTTTAATGCAGTGCTGGGGATCAAACCTAGGGCTTTGTGGGTGCTAGGCAAGTGCATCACCAAATGAGCCACATTCCCAATATTGAGTTCTTGGTTTTGTTCCTCAGAGTTGGGCTTCTGAAGCCTTAGGCTCCTGGTGGGGGCTGTGGCTTTGCAGAATAGGCTTAAGCAAGTCAAACCCAACTCTAGAGAAGTCAGCAGAGACAAAAAGCCATTTCTCTCTCCTTAGAGAATGACTGGCTGCCGGGCAGTGGTGGCGCATGCCTTTAATCCCAGCACTTGGGAGGCAGAGGCAGGCGGATTTCTGAGTTCTAGGCCAGCCTGGTTTACAGAGTGAGTTCCAGGACAGCCCGGGCTATAAGAAAAACCCTGTCTCGAAAAAACCAAAAAAGAAAAAAGAAAAAGAGAGAGAGAGAGAGAGAGAGAGAGAGAGAATGAGAGAGAGAATATGACTGGCTTAGAGCAGAAGGAAATCCCTTACCATGGGTTGTTGGGGTTCAGGGGCTGCTTTTAGCGAGGCAAGATCATATACAAGGGGCTCCCTGCACACAGGACACTGCACACCGACTGCCTTCTAAAACAAGAGGAAAAATCACATCCTGCTCCCTTGTCAGCCCCCAGTCTTTGGAGGGCTGGGATCAAAGGGCAGAAGCGTTAGCTGCTCAGCAATGAGGTAGAAGAGAGGAGGAAAGGGCTGCCTAAGGAGAGGTCTGGAAATGCTGCCAAGCTGCATGCACTATGTCAGTATACACTGGATGCCTTTCTTTCTGAACAAGGGTAAGAACTAATCTCAAAAGTATCTAAAACTAAAAAGATGAAAGGCCATTGGAATGGAGGGATGGAGATGGAGATGAAAGTCTACGGGTACCAGATCAGACAGTGGGTCTGGCGATGTCTACCTGCTTGATAACAACATGCTGTCGCTCCTGCTCCTGTTCCTGTGTATTCAGCTCTTGCTCCATGTGCTGGATGTACCTGGCAAGGCAATGGCAGTGAAAGTAGTGGTAACACGGTGTTTTGGTAAAGGCCTCCTTCTCCTGTAGGAAGACAGACGCACGGTCCTGCATTAGTGTCCACTCACTAGCCCTTCCCTGTCTGCTCAAACTCATCCCAGATCCCAGCTGAGAAACCCACCTGGAACCCATAGAGGCAGATGACACACTGACCATGGGGAATGTTGTTATCTGTGAGAATCTCCTTCCCTTTCTGAAAGGAGAGAAGATGTTGCTGAAACATGGAGGCAGGAGACTATGAACACATCCCAAATACTTCTTCCAGGACTAGCTGGTTGGATGTGACATCCACCAAGCCTAATTTATTACCTATTGTTTATACATTCCTATCCTGGTAATGTTTTACTTGCAAGGATCCCTCTCTGCACCTCCTCATTTGGTCTTCCTAGTTTCAAAATCTAAGTCAATTACTTCTCTTGCTAAGTCACATTCAATATACTTAGAGATAAAAACAATATATCTTAGAGAGAAAAAAATACCCAAAACTCATCGTCACTGACACATGGCATGGTAGCTTCAGTTGCAGCATCCAGGAAGCTGAGGTAGGAGGATTGCTTTGAGTTTGAGGCCAGCCTGGACTACACAGTAAGACTGTCTCAAATCTAAACAAACACACCTCATTTTCATTTTTGAGATGCCTCTTTTGTTTGAACCAGGAGTCATGCTTTGTTGTCTCGGCCCAAGTTCTTGGGCTCAAGAGATCCCTTTCCTTCAGATTTTCCTGTGCTAGACTTATCAGCACACGTTACTGAGCTGGGCCTCGGAGGCCTTTCTTAACATTCCTCAAGTAAAATTCCCCCATGGGGCAATGCATTTTTTCAAATAGACAAATGGACCGCAATCAAAGGCATCAAGCTGCTCTATGAGATGTTTATTTGCACAGCTGACACTATGGGTTTCAGAAGCTGCACTGGGGTCTGACCCAGGATGGCTACAGTGTTCTACATGCCCGCTCACTGACTCTCCACTACCCACCTTCACCCCAAGTAGGAAACAAGGGTGATCTTGCTTGTGCATTTTTAACCTCAAACAAGAAAGTTACCTCTGTATTTTGTTACTCTGCCTTTGTGTCATGTGACTTGTTTACTTAACTAGAAAGAATATACGATTTTCTTTCTCTTTTCTAAAGACAGAGCCTGATGTAGCCCAAGCCATCCTTGAACTTACTATGTAGCTAAAGGTGCTTTGAACTTATGGATTCTCTTGCTTCCACCTCGCAAGTGCTAGGATCACAAGTGTGCACCACTATGCCTTGGCTTGTAATACCAACTACCTGGGAGACAGGGACAGGATGTCACAAGTTCGAGGCCTGCTTGACCACTTTGTGACTCATTCTCGGAATTAAAAAGTTTTAAAATGTTATGGATATAGCTCAGTAGTAGAGCACTTGTCTAATATGTGTAAAGCCTTAGGTTTGAACCTCAGTACAGAAAAAAGAAAAAGTACTGAAATTAAAGCAGAGAAAATGCAGGGGTTGGGGTCACACACCTTTAATCCCAGCAGTTGGGAGACAGAGGCAGATGGCTCCCTCTTTAAGGCCAGAGCTACATAGTGAGAACCTGCCTTGGTTAACTAGAATCATCTGAGAAGAACCAAAACTGAGAAAATACCTCCATAAAAATGCCCTGTAGGCCGGGCGGTGGTGGCGCACGCCTTTAATCCCAGCACTTGGGAGGCAGAGGCAGGCGGATTTCTGAGTTCGAGGCCAGCCTGGTCTACAGAGTGAGTCCCAGGACAGCCAGGGCTATACAGAGAAACCCTGTCTCGAAAAACCAAAAAAAAAAAAAAAAAAAAAAAAAAAATGCCCTGTAGGCAAGCCATTGCCTATGTCAAATGCCTAGCAAAATGTAAGGCATTTTCTTAATGACTGAGGGAGGAGGACTCAGCCATTGTGGACGGGCCACCCCTTGGGTTGGTGGTCCTGGGAGCCATAAGAAAGCAGGTTGTACAAATCAGGAGGAACAAGCCTGTAAGTAGTACCCCTTATGGCTTCTTCCTGCCTCCAGGTTCCTGCCTTGAGTTACTGCTCTGACTTCCCTCAGTCATGGAATGTTCTTGGAAGTGTAAGATGAAATGAATGCTTTCTCCCCTAAGTTACTTTTGATCATGGTGGGGTTTTTTTTTTGGTTTTTGTTTTTTTTTTAAAGATTTACTTTATTTATGAGTAAACTGTAACTGTCTTCAGACACACCAGAAGAGGGCATCAGATCCCATTACAGATGGTTGTAAGAAATTGCTGGGAACTGAACTCAGGACCTCGGGAAGAGCAGCTAGTGCTCTTAACCACTGAACCATCTCTCCACCCCTGATCATGTGTTCTTATCATAGCAATAGAAACCCTAACTAAGATCAAAAATAAATAAACAACAGAAAGAGAAAGAAAAGAACAACAAAATAGATAAAATAAAACAAATGAACACCAAAAACCCCACAATAAAATCAAAGAGGAAAAGTACTTTTTCATCAAGATACTTAAAACTGACAACCTCAGGAGAGTTATTCAACTACACTTTTTTTTTTTTTTTTGAGACATGGGAGTTACCGTCTAGACTAATTGAGGCCTTATGCAAACAAAGACTAAATGTACTGGCTGCAGATATGTTGCCTGAAAGGAAGGACATTTTACCAGACCATAATACTTTACCTCAATGAGTTCATAGAGCATGGCAGTGCCTAGTCCTTCCTTGGCCACATGGCCCAGTGCCTGTGAGATCCTGGAAAAAAAACCGGAGAAGCCCATAATTAAAGCAACCCCCTTCCATCCACAGGCAGAGCTGAATTTTGAATTTTCCCTGCTCCAATTAGCCTTACTTACTTGTGGATCTGCTCATCTGAAAGTCCTCGAGGGTTACGGATGGAGATCTGTGGCACCTCGTGGGGATACTGATGCAGAAAAGCAACAGATAGTCATTAAAGTGATCACCTCGAGGGACTCTCCCCTTCCCTCCCTTTACTGCTGTGCAGAAGCAGCCTCACCTGTACTGGGATCCGGAGAACCAGAGTAAAGCAGACAAACTGCGAATCTTGGACCTCTGCGGTGGCAGGGTGCAGAGTGATAAAGATCTCCCATGGTGATCTGCAGGTGGATGAAGTGAAGACGCAGGGTGTGACTAGGCAGGGGCTTGAAAGCTAGGGAGGAGGGGGTGAGAGAGTAAAGCAGGTAGAGGAATGCACATTGGACTTGTTTCTCTGTGGGGGGGATGAGAGGGAGGATTAAAGGAATAGCAGATAAACTTCACCTCTGTGAGGGGAGGCTCAAAGTACCCTAAGTTCAGATTCTGTGCAGAATTCTCTCACGACTGAGACCCCTGCCCTCCCCTAGCTGAATACGTACCTGCCATTCCCTTTCATCACCTGTAGCTCATCCAGATAGATAGACTCTAATACTTCAACTTCAGAGGGAAGGACCCTGGAGAATAAGGGGGAGACTGAGTAACCATTACAGCTCTCCCTGCTGAAGCTGCCAAGGCTGATGAAGACTCACTTTTAAAAAAATATGCCTGAATACACTGGCCAAATTATTCTTTAAAATCAGGAAATGTTTCTTCAAGTTGTCAACTAGCCAGGTAGAAAGCATGGAAATTAAATTTTTAGAGATCACACTGCCAACTTGAGAAAACACATTCCCAGAGAGTTACAACTAACCAAACCTTTACCTAAGAGGATTGGGATCAATCAGAGCCAGGTCCTGGCTCCCTGCTTAAATTTCTACAGCATAAGTTATCCTTTAGTGGGTTTCCCTCTGACTTACATATATGACATCCATTCATTACTAACAAGGTTATCAATACTACTCTTGCCTACCTAGACTACTGTTTAGCACAGATCCCTGTGTTCTGGGTACTGCCAATAACCTTGCCAGCACCAGTCGCTCTAAGCATCCTCAAAGGACATATCAGGTTGAACAGGTCTAGGTAAAATAAAAGCTATATTGCATTAGAAGAGTCATAGGTCTTGTAGGTAATAGTAGAGCAGAAACTACTTACCAAGCTATGTGGTCAGGTTACTTATTTTTAGAAGCCTGAGTTACACTGTCTACCACCTAGTGAAAATAGAGCATACTCACTAGGGCTACTATGAGAGAGAGAAATGATTTGTTTAAAGTGCACAAATGTCTGAGACATAGTATCTAAGTGATCTTCCCCCCCCTTTAAAAGGAAACGGAGAAGGGCACAGTCTGAGGACACTGAGTGCACACATAACCCTGGATGTGTAGTTAATTCTGATCATCATGTCTAAGACAGGGTTCATGGTCCTGATATAAACCAAAGGGCTCACATTTAAACATAGAAAAAACAGTTGTAATGACATCAAAGAAGAGTGATTGTCCACAGCCCTACCCAGGTGATATGAAACCTGTATCCGTTCTCTCATACATTTCCTCTCCATCGAGAGAGTGCACACCCCAGCACCACTTCTATCAGTGATGGTTAGTATTACCATTCTTCTTAAGCCTTAGGCAGAAACCTTAAAATATAAAGCTTATTATTTTACAAATAACAATAATAATAAAAAAAGACATTTTGGCTGCTATAGACTACTACAGCCACCGCTACCCTGTTATGGCTCAGGTGTCCCTTCATAATCTTAGAAGTCCCTCCCGACAGTGAAAAGCACTAGTCTGGCTGGGCTCCCTAAACCAATGTAACACTGAGGTGCAGCCTCAGTTAAGACTTCCTTTAGTACTTTGGTCACCTGAGGTCACCTGAGCCTTGGATGTAAGATACAGACTGGGAGTAAATAAGGTCATAGGTTACAGGTGGGGTGGGGTGGGGGTCCGCAGTAGGCTGTCCTAATAATAACAATATAAGGCCTTAACCCAGACAGATGTCCTTTGGGTTTACCTAGCCTCTTGAGGTCTTATATTTCAGCAATTAATGAAAAGCAAGCAGGCTTATGGATATTACAAATCCACCGTGATCCTCCCAACTACTCTATGAGGTAATGCCACACCCACTTTTTTTTTTTTTTAATAGCTGACACTGACTCGCAGGGAGCTAGCTGGTTTGGTCAGCATCACATCAAGCTAATTAAATATGAAGTGAGCACATTTTTATCTTATGTCCAAAACCCAAAGCCCTTAAAGGCTTTTGGTTTATTAAGAATGTTCGAGAGAGTAGGAGGGCTTATGAAGGGAATAAGGCTTTTCTGACAATAGTTATTATGCTGTCGGGGATATGGGAAGATTGAAAAACGCGTAGGCAGACATGGACTGAACCAAGGGGCAGGATCCTAGGGGCACGAGGAGGGCGTCTGTTCCGAGACGTGGGAGGTGTGATGAGCAGCCATCCTCCAGGGCCCAGAAAACCCCATCAGGGAGAAGTGGGAAGGGGTAGGTCCATAGGAGGGGGCAATGGGGTCGATAAGGTGTGGGCCCTGCTGGCAGGGCCGCCGTAGACCCAGTCCCTTCTCAGATCAGCGTCCCTCCCCCCTCCTTTCCCGGTCCAGTAGCTCGCCTACGAAAGGATGTCATGGTCTCTTCCATCCCTCCCGCCTTGATCCACCCTTTATGCCCGTGATTCGGACGGTCCGAAGCTGTTGCTAGTTCCCAGCACCAGATCCAGGCAGCCAGCCAAAACCTATGACCCAAAGTTACCAGTCCTCTTCCCCGGCAGCTGTCGACGCAGACGCCGCCATGTCTTCTCCGGCTCTTGGCCGGAACCGGAAACACCTTTTGGGAAGTTAGAGGCGGAAAACTAGGGCGGGGCGGTGTAAAAGAAAGCTGGCGCCGTTTCTAGGCAACTGAAGACTCTAGATCCTTTGTGGGGCCTGCTAGCCAAGCGACAGAAGTGCCCTAGAAAGTGCCAATGGGCAGTTCGCATCTGTCACACACCTCTGAGAGCTTTGTCCTTTAAACTTCTGGCCAGTTCCAGGGAGTAAAACTGGTAAGAGTGTGGGAAACTAACGAGAGCAGCAGTGAGGAATGGAGAAAAGTAACGCAGGCAGCTGGGAGGGACCCAGCTAGAGGCCCCCGGCCGCCAGCCCTCAGCCTGGAAATCTTGACGCGTCTAGGCTGGAGGCAAATTAGGGGACCTCGACTCGGGACCAGAGTGGTGGTGCTGGGCAAGCTGAGGGGGTCAGGAACTTGGGAGAGTATAGAAGGAGCATGTGATCACCACTGGTGGAGAGGGGAAAGGGGATACCAGCGTGCTATGGGCACCTAGCCTGAGTGAGGGGGACGAGGGGAGACACTCTAAGATCTGATAATTTTTTCCACCCTGGTCTTATTTTTGAGGGCCTTGTTATTGTGAAAAATAGAAAAAAGCAAGGCTGATAATGTGTCTTTCCCTTATTATGAGCCAGGCCTCCCAGATGTGTGGAACTACCCTCAGATCTATAGCTCTTCGTCACCGTCTTCTTTCTACCTTCTGAGAGACCCTGAAACCCTTGCCATGGAAAAGTACCACGTTTTGGAGATGATTGGAGAAGGCTCTTTTGGGAGAGTGTATAAAGGCCGAAAAAAATACAGTGCTCAGGTAGTGAACAAGGATACCTTTTAAGAGGGATTTGATGACCCGCTTGTCCAGTAGAAACTTGGGACAGAAGAGTTGCACAGTGTGTATTTCTAGACTCTGACTCTGGCATACTTCCTAGGGTACATAGACTCAGGAATTTGATTTCTTGGAGTCAGATCCCAGCCCTAGAATTAGGGATAAACTACCTAACTATCCTATGCTTCAGTTTCCCCAAACTGTACAATGGGGGAAGATTGAGAAGGTCTGAGGATTAAATGTGTTTCACACTTAATCACTTAATACAATGCTTGACACTTACTATATATACTTGGTCTTAGCCAAAAGGCCGAGAAGCGATGCTTGACACCTACTAAATGATGAAAATTATTACTGTCCTTTGTACTACTTAAGAAAAGATAACCCCTTGAAATCTGTTCTTCCATATTTATGTTTTCCTTCTCCTTTCCCTAAATCTTACCTTGAGTCCTTTGCTTACATCAGAAAACCTTTCCCAGAGTCCCATCAAAGGGATCTGTTTGCCAGTAACTGTTTCCCCCTGCTGATGGGTTGACAAAGCCAGAGTAAATCCACAGTGCCCTGGGGGAAAGTATGTCTTCACATTTATACTAAGAGTTGGTCAAGAAGCATAAAGTCTTGAATTGTGGAGCCCTAAGATAAAGCTTGAAATATTTGCAGAGAGAGAGAAAGAGAGAGAGAGAGAGCTCACCAGTGAGTTTTATTGGGGTTACTTAAACGAGTAAGTGAGGGTTTACTTACGGGAGCAGAAATGACTCGCAGATGGCTGTGTCACCAAAGCCCACCCCAGCATGTGTGATAGCTCATGCAAGCTGGACACTTCACACCTACGTTGCCCAGAGGCAGCCTGACAGAACGGGGTGTGTCTCAGGCAGCTCAGCCGGTACAGCAGTTTCTTTGCACTTCTTGATGGTGTAGCTAGGTCCTGACTCTTCACTTTACCGCTGACAGGTGGTAGCCTTGAAGTTCATCCCCAAACTGGGGCGCTCAGAGAAAGAGCTGAGGAATCTGCAACGAGAGATTGAAATCATGCGGGGTCTGTGGCATCCCAACATTGTGCATATGCTTGACAGCTTTGAGACTGACAAAGAGGTATGTCTGCACAGTATTGGGTTGTCTCTCTCCAAGCCCAAGGACTCCAGGCATTTCCCAACCACAGAGTACATGGCTGTTCTGTCAGTGCCACGCTGCCTTCTCCTCACAGGTGGTGGTGGTGACAGACTATGCTGAGGGAGAACTCTTTCAGATTCTGGAAGATGATGGAAAACTTCCTGAAGACCAGGTATGCTTCCTGGCTCAAATGTTCCCACACTTTGAATCTCTGTCTCGGTGAAGATCTAGGATGCAAGTTGAGGTCGTCAAGAGTTTTTATGTATGAGTGTGTGTCTGTCTTTCTTTTTATAGTGTATATCTGAGGGCATATTTGTGTATGTGCACATATGTGTAGGTGCATGTGCTCATACATGGCATGCAGAGGCCAGAGGTTAGGGTTGCTGTCTTCTTCAGTTGCTTTCAATTTTTTGAAAGTGGATCTCTTACTGAGCCTGAAGACTGTTGATAATTGGCTGGAATGTCTGGCTAGCAAACTCTAGGGATTTGTCTATCTTTACCCCCTCCCCAAAACATCAGGACTATAGCTGTGAGACACCAGGCTCAGCTTTTAATGTAAATGCTGAGAACCTGAACTCAAGCCCTCATGCTTGTGCAGTGGGCATTTCACCAGCAGAACAATCTTCTCAGCCCTGACAATTCTTTTTTTTTTAATTTTATTAATTTATGAGTGTTCTGCTGCATGTAATACCTACAGGCCAGTAGAGAGCATCAGATCCATTTATAGATGGCTGTGAGCCACCATTTGGTTGCTGGGAATTGAACTCAGGACCTCTGAAAGAGTGGCCAGTGCTCTTAACCACTGAACCATCTCTCCAGCCCCTGACAAGTCTTCTTAAACATGTTTTTTGATTCTACCTTATTTCATGTGCGTGTGTGTGTGTGTGTGTGTGTGTGTGTTGTATGTGGGGGGAGGAATGTGCCTATACATGCATTCCAGAGCGCACATTAAAAGTACAACTTGTAGGACTCCGAGGCAGTTCTCTCCTTTCACCGTATGGGTCCCAGGGATTGAACTCAGCTCATTAGGTCTAGCATCAAGTGCCTTTACCCAGTGAGCCGTCTCACCAGCCAGTTTTTGAAGACCCCTAAGAAGAGTGCAAGGCTCTAGCTATAGCTACAGGCAATATAGTGTGGGAGTAAACACTGGAGCCACAATATCTGAGTATAAATCTTGACTTTGCCCCTCACTAGCTGGGTCCCCGTGGACAAATTACTCTTAATGTCTTTGGATTTAGTTTCTTCATTAGTAAAATGACAATAATAATATCTACTTTGTAAGGCTATTTGAGGATTAGTGGTTTAATTCATCAAGATGACAAGTAGCTATTATTAATGTTGTGGATATCGGTCATGGTTATTATGCCTTTAAGGAAGAAAGGCTGGTTTTAGAGCAGTAAGAGAAGCTTACCATTAGGTTAGGATTCACCATTAGGCAAAGAGGCTGACAGTAGAGTTTGGTTGCGGAGTGTCCCTATAATCACTCTTGGGGTCTCTTTATACTCTTACAGGTAGATGCCCTCCAACCTCAGAAATCTCATCACTGTTTATAAGTAGTCACCTTAAACTGCGGCTGTGTAGCTCAGTTGGTAGAATATTTTCCCAGCATGCATTAAGCCCTGAGTTGGAGTCCCAGTACACCTAAAACTGGACTTGGTAGCACATACATATAATCTCAGCACTGGTGAGGTAGAGGCAAGGGAATCAGAAGTTCAAGATAATCCTCAGATACATAGCAAGTTCAAGGCCAGCCTGAGGTCTTCCTGGCTTTTTTGCCTTGTTTGAGGGATCCCTTATTTAAAACAGCTAATGTGCACAGATTGTTCCCCATGCCAGGCACCATCTACTTTCCATGCTTTAACGCCATTATCTCTGTACTAGCCCTGGGTGGGATGTGCTGTATTGTTCTCACCGTATAGATGGTGACTCTGGGAAAGCACAGAATCTGTTCATTGTCATGCAGCCAATAAGAGAGATACAATAGACCAATAGATTTTCCTTGAATAAATGAATGAGCAGAGAAAAGGATGAATTAAGAGGAACAAAAAGCAAGGAGGCCATAAGGAACTGTGGGGTTCTAGAAGAGAAGGAAAGAACAGAAAATCAAATTAGCCTCAGCTCCGGAAGGCTTGTCAGCTGGCTCATCCTCTGACCTTTCCTTTCACTTGTCTGACCCCTAGGTTCAGGCCATCGCTGCCCAGTTGGTGTCAGCCCTATACTATCTGCATTCCCACCGCATCCTACACCGAGACATGAAACCTCAGAACATCCTTCTTGCCAAGGGTGGTGGCATCAAACTTTGTGACTTTGGGTAGGGTTTCTGAGCTTCCATCTATGCTTTCCTCTTCAGGGAGTCCTAGACTCCCCACGGGGCTTACGTAAGCCTCGTGTTAGAACCATAGCTGGAGACTGGGACTCTGACTGGGCCTTTGGAACTAAGTTAAGGTACTGTGTCTCTTTTGGTTCAGGTTATCCCATAGCTAACACGTAGTAAATGGCCAGATTTATTTTTTTTTCTTTTCTTTCATTTTTTTTTAAGAACTCATTATGGAACTCACTCTGTAGACCAGCCTAGCCTCAAACTCAGAGATCCACCTGCCTCTGCCTCTCAAGTGCTGGGATTAAAGGCATGCGCCACTACTGCCCAGCTTAATTTTCTTTTTAAAAATACTTTATGACATTTATTTATTTATTATAATATGGAGATGTGGGGACCCATGTGCCATGGCATGCTTGCAGAGGTCACAGCACAACTTGTAGGAGTCAGTTCCCTCCTTCTAACCATGTGGGTCCTAGGGGTGGAACTCAGGTCATCAGGCATGATGGCAGGTACCTTTACCACAGAGCTATCTCATCAGCCCCTGTCCTCAGGTGCAATTTTCCAGCTGTGAGTAGGTCTCGATGACCTTTTTCTTTTGTATTTCCATCCTGTCACCTCTGTAGATTTGCCCGAGCTATGAGCACCAACACCATGGTGCTGACGTCTATCAAAGGCACACCGCTCTATATGTCTCCAGAGCTGGTGGAGGAGCGACCATACGACCACACAG